TATATATTATTTCATTTGAGTGTTAGCCGCTGAGTTATTTCCAACTTATTTGTTTTATGTACGTGGCAATTATTGTGCACTTTATTTATTATATCTACTTTTCTTTTAATATCTGTTATTCAATGACTCTCAGCCTCGTTAGCAGTAAGTTATTAATGAGGGTTTGCATACCCAGCATTTATCAGTATAGATCTTTGTCATTGAAGATTAATTTAGGTCTTCATACTGTAGTGAATAAACGAGGTCAGCCAGGTGGACAACACAGAATATGAGTTTCCTGATTGGGACTGCCAATCTGGTCCAATCAGGGAGCCTTGGCTGACAGATATAAACAGGTATGTCAGCGGTTCTGTTCACTCTGCGAGATGGATTGAGGTAGCTGGATCAGTGTCAAGGACTTTCCATGCATAAAGAAAGGGTAACTTGGTGACAGGATACTGGCCTCTGTGCAGTGATTTCAGTGGCAACGAGAGAAAAGGTGCTCCTGAAGAACTTCACTCGCAACAGTCATCTTTCAGTTGGGGTAAGCATTTCTGCATCATGCTGTTAGTTGGGAATCTACAGCCATTCAATCCTGCTGTTGAAGACTAGGCCAAGTATGTGGAAAGAATGTGTTAATTTTTTGGTTGGCAATTGACTTCAGGACAAATGAAAAACAAAGAATAATTCTGCTGACAGCTTGTAAACCCCCAGCTTTTCCAGTTATTAGGAGCCTAACTTTCGCTGAGGCACTAGATACTAAAACCTTTTAACTGTTGATGGATTTAATGAAGGAATATTATGACCCAATGGTTGTCTAATTCTGAGACGCTATCAGTGTTACTCGACAATTCGAGAACCAGGGAAGTCCGTATTAGGATTATTGACGGTGTTCAGATTACTGCCAGAGGCATGTGACTTTGGTTTAACCATTAATGAGATGCTGAGAGACTGTTTTATATGTGGGATTAATGATGTAACCATGCAAAAGCACCTACTAGCTGAAGCCCATCTCGACTTCACACAGTCACGACAATTGGCTTTGTCACTGGAAAATGTGGCAAGTGGAGCATTTGAGTTGCAAGGTGTTCCAATGGAACTGGACATACTCGCCAGTCCACCTGGGCTTGAGGAACACCACTTGAGTGAAGGCAATTGCATATCCTCAATCAGGACATATCCTGAACAGAGGGACTCTAGGTTAGCCCACAGCAAACCCAAAACAAAGCCAAGCCTTAGCCAAAAAGTTAAAATTTTCTTCAGGATCCAAGCCAGCAACAAGCAGTAAACCACTTTTTGCAGGTGGATAAATATCCAGTCCCTGGACTTTTCCGCAAAACTAGCGGTGTGGAGGGTGAAAGGATGTTCTGTCTTTCATGAAGCTGCACATGAGCCACTCCTGCCTGCAATTGTGATTGGATGAGGATTCCTAGAGTAGGCTACGTTTAATGCCCATAAGGGTTTGCACCAATATACCAGAGTGCCTTTTAGGCTGTCATCATCCTTTGCCATTTTCCAGCGGATGGTGGAGAACATTTTACAAGGTCACATTCTACCACAGGTCACCATTTGTATTGATGACGTACTAATAACACGGAAGACCAATAAAAAAAATTAAAGAATTTGGACAGAATGCTTAAACGATTCTCCAAGAAGAGTGTACACCTTTGGAGGGAATAATGTGTGTTCCAGTCACCCCATGTGACCTACTTGGGCTAAAGAGTCGACACGGCCAGGTTACAATCATTGGGAATTGAAGTAAGGTGCACAGGTTCCCACATCTGTAGGCGCTCAGGTCTTTCCTTGTGTTGTTCAATTATTCTGGAAAATTCACACCTAACCTGGCCTCCATCCTGGCAACCTTACATTTGTTATTGAAAAAGAGTCAGCCTTAGAAATAGTCTCATAGACAAGATGTAACCTTTAGGGAAGTGAAGATGTAGTTTTTGTTGGCACGTTATAATCCCAAGCGAGATGCAGTGGTGACATGTGATGTCTCCCTGTGCAGTATCAGGGTTATGTTGGCTCACCGGCAAACCATCAGAGTGGAACACTCGATTGCACATGCTGCTCAAACTTTGGCTGATGCCAAATAAAAATATAGAGAAGAAAGGTTTGACATCATCCTTGGTGTTTGTTTAGAAAGTTCCACCTATACCTTTACAATGTAAATTTGTAATAATAACGGACTACAAACCCGTGTTAGGGCTACTCAAATAGGACAGGGCCGTGCTGCCCATAGCTTCAGGTCGAATTCTGCGGTGGGCTCTTACTCTGAGTGCATGCAGTTACAAGTTGGAGCACTGTCCGGGAAGGCAAGTAGCAAATACAGATGCCATTAGCCACCTCACACTGGTAGATACACCACTGCTGGTGCCACCACTGGAAGACTCTCCTTCTTTTAATCATTCTGAACACCCTTCTGGTCACCACTGACAATATCTGACAGTGGATACAAAGAGATCCTGTCTGGCAAAATTGAAATGGCTGTGGTGATGGGGGAATCCAAAGGGCTAGCACAATCAGAATTGAAACGTTTCTGGACGAAGTGAGATCAGATCACCGTGGAGGTCAGCCTATTATTATTGGGGAGTAAGAGTAGTTATCCCGAGTAAAGGTTGCTGCCAGATACTAAATCATCTAGGAGTTTCTAAAATTAAGATATTGGCGAGTTATTATGTCTGGTGGCCAGGATTGGATGCTGGCATAAACACATTGGTGGGGCTGTGCCCAGAGTGCCAACAAGGACAAAAATTACTGCCAACAGTTGCCATACACTGGTGGGAATGGCGGGTTACACGTTGACTGTGCCAGTCCTTTCATGGGCTCTATGCTCTTAGTCGTTGCAGATGCCCACTCAAAATGGTTGGACGTGCATAGAGTTTATTCATCAAACACAGGGATGATGATTGAAAAGCTGCGAGCATCTTTTGCAATACTCAGACACCTGGAACTGTTGATCACAGACAGCGGGCAATCATTTACCAGCAGGGAATTCGAGTATTTCCTAAAGTCAAATGGCATTTGGCATGTAAGGACAGCTCCATACCATCCATCGTCCAATGATCTGGTGGAAAGAGCAGTCCAAACTTTGAAGGCAGGCTTATAAGAAGCAGCCTACAGTTCACTCAACACCAAACTGTCCCAGATCCTGTTTGATTATAGGACCACCCCTCACGCAACTACAAGGACAGCTCCAACAGAGTTGCTAATGGGAAGAAGACTCTGCACCAGGCTAAACCTGATCTTCTCAGACGTGGGCAGGGGGTGGGGTTGGGGGGATGTGGAAAGGCATCAGAAACGCCAATGTCGGGCACAGGACTCCTCTTAATGAGAGAGGTAGTTTACTCCAGGGGACAAAGTTTGGTGTCAAAACCACAGGGATGGCCCTGCATGGTTAATGTGAGGTCAGGATGTGTGATATGCAAAGTTCAGGTAGGAGAGGAAGTCCTGAATAAGCACGTGGACCACATGAAAGCTGCAACTCCACAAATGGGGCAAGTGCAAAACATACCCAGCCCCTCAGAACATCGAGTAAAGCTATCAGAATCTGTGGGTTCTCCCCGTTCCACATAACAACATAGAAACTTCTGATGACGAGGTGGACTTGGAAGATGCTGTTACCACCTGAAGAAGACACTTCTGGCGCAAGAGGCGGGCAATGGTCTGGTACACACTGCCAGTATCCGAGGCAGAATCGGAAGAACCGGACCTGGTGCAAAAATTCCCCAGGAGAGGTTACTAGAAACAGACTGAGCCTGCATTTCAGGACTTAGAGGGGATGCATATAGTGATTGGAACAAGGGTGGATGTCGTAGAATATGAATTACCTGATCGGAACTGTTTACCTGGTCCAATCAGGGAACCCTGACTAACATATAAACAGTGTCCCCGAGGTTCTGTTTACTCTAGGAGCAGTCTCTGAGCTAGCTGGATCAGTGTCATGTATTATGCACATGTAAATAAAGGGTGACTGAGTGACAGGTTACTGGCCTTTGTGCAGTAATTTCAGTCTTCACCTTGTCCCTATCCTCTATTCCTTGCCTATTCATGTATTTGTTAAGATGCCCCGTAAAACCTCACAAATGTTCACCAGTATATTTTCGTAGCATTCATTCTGAACTGGCCTTAGTAAGTTGAAATTAAACGTTTTGAGTAGGATATTATCAACGCAAAATATCTGTGCAGTACTAACCCTGTGTACGATGAATGCAATCATTTTGTGACGGACTTTGCAACACTGAGTGCAACATGGTTGACTTGTGGTAACTCACACTTCATGAGTGTATGCTGAACAGAACTGTACCTGTCAAGTCTGAAGGTAGCTTTACGCAACTGGTAATGTCCCAAATAGATGTAACTGCGCTGATCTATTAAAATCCACTTGGGCTTTAATGTTGATTGACTGGAGCAGTCCGCGCTGAAATTAACAATGATAAATCACATCTCAACATATTGATCATAGATGTACTGTACTGACTCTAAATCTTACTGTGCGAAATTTAATTGTAGTGAAATTACATCAATGAACTGTGAAACTAACCGAGCAGAAGCATCTTAAACGGGTCTGTGAGGACAGATACTTTACTGGATCGATATTGAATGAATTCATGTTGCACCTGAATCATGGTACAAATGATAGAATAATGATAGGGCTTGACTGTCCTATCGTTGAAATATTTGCTTATCTCAATGCAGTTTCCAGAGAACGCCGCATCTTGGACTGACACTAATATTCAGATAGTAGTTATTTTTATGACAACATAAAACATTGATCCTCATACAATTACTGTATGTGTCACTTTAGATCAATTTCAGACCCCATGAAATTAATATCCAATCCGTTTAAAAGGGCGGCCAAGCAGAAACTGCACTAATCTGCTCATTGTAATAAAAATAGTTAGGGACAAAGTAAAACTAACTAATTAACTCCCTGGAGCCTGAAATGCATATATATAACCATGTATAAATGTAGCCACCATTCGATGATTCATGGAAAGTGCTCAAAGCATCTGTCAGAAATGCATGAAATACCAAGAGGTTTGGTCTTTGCTATTTACTATCCAGTACTTGCAGCTATTGGCCTTCCAGGTAAAATGTTGTTCATTTAAACTGCAGAGTTATTGGTTAGCTGCGTCAGTTCACCAGTTTTACCAGTTGTGCTACACCACATCAAAAATATTGTTTCTCCTATTCAATAGGGCATAATGTTTGACTTCAACACTGTGATGTGCTCCGTTGGAGGTGTAATACGTTTTGTAACACATTTCTATGAGTTAAAGGTAATAATAGTACAAACGAGTTACAAAGTGCTGTCACAATGCCAATCCAATTCCATTGTAGTATTGGCAACACAATATTAGGTCAATTACCAAGCAGTTATTATCTTGTAATAATAGATCCATTGTGACATTGATACGTATTCAGGTCAATTCTCAGGTTATTATCATATTTTAGATGTTTTTTGGGGGGTGGGGGGCGTTGTTATTTCTACAGTCATCCCGACGTACATATAGATTTATTGTGCAATTTTCTGAACAATTTCCATCTGCATTTAATGACAGATTTTACTGAAGGGGGACGATTAGTTTTCAAAATGTTCAAAGATATATGACAATGTTCTATTTGACCTTTTATTGAAGATTGGAATTTGCCACTAAAGCATAGAGTGGAGGTTTTTTTTCTGTTTTCAGTCACTAGTGCTGACTGTTTCAGCACTGCACCCTTATTCTACATTGACCCTTTCTGACGGTTCTAATTTGCTGACAGCTGATGTGGGATTTCCACCTGATTCCGGAGTCTGGCAATGTCTCAGACTGTTTATAGCTCTGCTGTTCAACCCATATTGAGTGAATCCCTAGGCCTGCTGGCATCTATTGTATTTCATTTACAAGGTTGAATTTCAAAAATGCAAATGAGAAAAAAAAATCATTATTTAGTCTGACAGGGCACTACACCACTGATGAAGTGCTGCATTGTAGAAAGGTCTTTTTATGAACAAATTCTCATCACCAGCCAGTTCCAATGACTTATACCGCCACCAGAACTCACAGATGATTGTCATATGAACAGTTATATCATTGAATCCATTCCAGAATGTACTCCGTAAAGTTGAAGATTTACTAGTTGTCAGTTTGTTTCCAATGTAATGTTCAGCAAGTTGAATTTCTGCTTTTCCAATAGTGAAAATAATTACATTAATTCATTGAAACAGAGCCACGTTTGATCCAAAATTAGGCATAATCGATGTTTTTCTTAGTTTCCAGGCGTATTGATGGTTTTCTGTAATTCACCTCCTTCGACATATTCCATATTTCTTTGTTGGTATGATTTTGCTTTATTTTGAGATTGATATCCTTGTGATATATTAAATGTATGTTTAAAATTCATTCTTGCCCTGGGATGGGGTGTCAAATAAACATTTGTCCTTGTTGCAACATTAATTTGGTTTTTACTTAATCCACTTTTCAATGTTTAATTCAAAAGTCAATAGTTCCTCATGTAAGCAATGATATCTCAATTATCATTTCTTTCTCAAAATCTTAAAATTGTTCAGAAACCCCTGTAAAATTTGGTTATTATCAGAAGCACAAATGCTCCTGTTATAACTCATTCTCTATCTGTCTTACAGCTAATCTAGCGGTGATTGCAATCCTATTTCGAAGAACCTGTGGTCTCTCTAGATGCATCACTTACTACTTGGTGTCAATGGCAGTGACAGATCTCCTGGTCATGGTCACAGCTGTGATTCTAAATCGGATTGCTGGGATTTATTTCCCATTCAGTTTCCTTTCTATCACGCCAGTATGCAGTTTTCGTGCTGCATTAAATATGGCAGTTATTGACAATTCTGCCTGGTTAACTGTCGCTTTTACCTTTGATCGATTTGTGGCTATATCTTGTCAGAACCTAAAAGTAAAATATTGCACAAAGAAGGTGGCAGCGTGGGTGATAGGAGTCGTGTCCACTCTGTGCTGCTTGAAGAACATTTTCATATATTTTGAATTTGAACCTAAGTATGTAATGAACAATATACCCTGGCTGTGTAGCATAAAGGATATATGCTATACATCACCTGCCTGGGCTGCATACGACTGGATCCGTTCTATTTTAAATCCGTGTCTCCCTTTCATTCTGATTTTACTCCTGAATGTGCTGACTGTCAGATGCATTCTCTTGGCCAACAGAACACGTAAACGACTCCAGCTTCAGAGCAATGGAACAAATCAGTGCGACCCAGAAGTTGAGAAGCGGAGAAAGTCCATTATTTTACTCTTTGCCATCTCGGGCAGTTTCATTCTGTTATATGTATTATTTTTCCTAAATATTCTCTATGTTCGAACTGCGAATGTTACTTATTCCTCAGGATCCACTTTGCGTGATTCCACATTTTATTTGGAACAAACTGGGTATATGCTTCAGTTATTGAGTTCCTGCGTCAACCCATTTATTTATGCTGTGATTCAGAGCAAAATTAGAGATGAATTAAAGAATGGAGTGAAATTTGCTTTGAACCTATTCATTAAAATATTTGAATATTGACAAGGATATAATCAAAAGTCATCTGTGCGCTATAGGACAGCACATCCTTCTTTTGACACATGGCTTCAAGTAAGGAGCTTTTAAGTCATTGCCTCAGGGGTAAGTTTAGAAATGCATGAGGAATGTGGCGTGACTACAAAAGTTAGTGTGGTAAATTGTTTGCAGTTATTTTTCAACCTTCTTGCCCCTTCTTATTCAGGATTTATCGAGAAAGCTGATGACTAGTCAGTCAGGAAGTATTGCTTGCAATTATGAGTTCCTATTAGGTGACTGTTGCAAACAAGAACAGCGATTGTTGCTCATCCCTAATTCCCTTCTGCAATTAGAGACATAGGTACAATCCTGGCCATCTGGGCCACACCTTTGTCCTCGCCTGCGTAAGTCCTGGAAGCTCTGTCAGATATTCACAGACCTCCGCAGCAGCAGCTGTACCTTTATTTGTGCTGACCACTCAAGAGTCCTGCCATCACTCCGACACTGAGCGTCACCCGATACTGCCATTACATTTCAAACAACAGTCACAGCAATCTTCACTGCCCTTGTCAGCTGCTCAGATATGACTGGAACAGTAAAGTAGAAAACAGAGCAGGAGTAGATCATTCTTCCTATTCAGCCCACTATACCATTCTTTGTTAAAGAATCCCTAAAGCGTGGAAGCATGCCATTTGGCCCATTGATGCTTCCAAAAGCGTCCCACCCAAACACACGGCTAACCAACTATCCCTGAACACTGTGGGCAATTTAGAATGGCCAATGCACCTAACGTCTTTGGATTGCGGGAGGAAACCAGAGCACCTGACGGAAATCCACGCAGACAAGCCAGAATGTATAAACTCCACACAGTCGCCCGAGGGTGGAATCGAACCCGTGTCCCTCGCGCTGTGAGGCAGCAGTACCAACCACCGAAACAGCTTGCCACCCAGCATGCTTATGGTTGACTATCTAACTTTGTACCTTGTTCCCCTCTTTCACCCCATATCTTATGACCCCTTTAGCTGTAAGAATTATATCTGAATCCCTCTTCAAAACGTTCAATGTTTTGGTGTCAACCGCTTTCAACGGCAAAGAGTTCCCCAGGCTCCGGGTGACAAATTTCTCCACATCTCAGTCTTAATTGGCCTACTCTGTATCTTTGATCGGTGACCCCTCTTTCTGGACTCCCCAATCATCACGAGCATCCTTCTGGAATATAGCCTGTCTAGTCGTGCTAGAATTTTATAGGTTTCCATGAGATAGCACGCTCCCGCCCACCTCCCTCCCCTCCACCTATCTTCTAAACACCAGGTACGATAGTCCTACCCGATCCAATCTCTCTCCGTACGTCAGTCCTACCGTCCTAGAAATTGTTAAACTCCCTCTTTAGCCAGCATATCCTTCCTCAGATAACGAGACCAAAACTACACGCAGGAATCCTGGTGTGGTCTCACCTAGACCCGGTACTATTGCAGCAACACATCCCCGTTCCCGCAGTCGCATCCTCTCACCGTGAAGTCCACCATACCGCTTCTCGTCTTCACACCCGATGCTTACATTCAGCGACTCGAATTAACACCTCTTTTCGAGAACGAAGTTCAGGTGATTAAATTATAGCAACCAAAATTAGGCAGCTACTTCCTTTAGTTGCGCTACTTTACTTACTTAATCTGACTTTAAATCTACAAACTGAATTTAGAATATATATCCAATTGAGTTTCAACTTTGAATCAAATTTCCAATCGTAGTTAATCAGTAATTCAGTTGGCCTTGGTCACATTTTTCTGCGGTTTCACTCTGCTGAGGTCCACGATGATGCATTTGTCCGCAAAGACTGTCTCATTCGTGGATTGTGCAAATGCTCCCGGAGGTTTAGTGAGCGGAATATAATCTACCTGCGTTTTCGTGAGACCGTGCTCAAAGTGTTGGAAGATTTGGCCTGGGATGGAGGATCTTGCATTTCAGGGATAGGCAGGAAGCCACTGTCTGAAGCTGAAGTCACCGATTTCTGCTGGCAGCGGGGGATGACAGAGCATGGGATAACACCCTGCTGCTTATCCCTGTCTCATTCAGTCGGAATCGGAGAACAGAAACTCATTGATGTGTTTGTTTGAATTCAATCCCTTCATGGATTTGTAGTGGGTTAAACTATAGGTGCGTATTCTAATTGTTTGATTGTTGCATTGGAAACATTCATGCAATAAAAGCCGACTGTTTCCTTCTCACGGGATAACATTGAAGTTAGCAATGGGAGAAATTTTCTTGCAGCCAAAAGCCCTATTTGACTATCTAAGAATCTATCACAGAGAATGCTGATTGGTAAAGAGCAACAGGGTTTTGGACAGTGGACGCCTGTTCAACCAACCTTTCATTTCACAGCCAAATGAGCTGACCAGTTACGCCACAGAGACTGAGGCAAAGTAGCCTGAAAGATCCCGGAAGCAGTGTGTCAGCGGGTTAATGCTTCTTGCTGCTGCTTGGAATGGTATCTGTCTTCGATCAGTTTTGCCCTTCTAAAGTAAAGGCTAGAGCGTTCATTCTGGAGACATTCATTGTCACATTTTTGTCGCCAGGTATCCAGTCCCTCCTACAACTGGGGCAGCCCTGCTTCAGCCTTTCGGTGTCTTGTCTGCTCCCAAATTCCAAATGTTCCGATGCCAAGATGAGGTTTGAATTTCTCACGAGCAGGGGCGAGAATCCTTTCTATGTCTCAGTTCAGCTAATGTCACCGAGAACATCAGAGTTAATTATTCAGTGTCTTAAAGAAGCGAAATATACCTTGACTGATGTGGACATTAGGACAGTTATCCTCTGATTCAAGTTCCCAGAGGGTTTTGAAAGATTCACAGAGCGGGAGACTGGGATTCTCGTTTTCTTTCTTTCCAATTTCCCATCCTAATACCTGGCAATATTTTCCAAAGTCTTGTTGCAATTCTCCACCTTGCATCATATTCAAGAATGAGGTATTTTAGAGAGATTTGGGAGGCTGGAGGTGTTATTTTTCGAGCAAAAAATAAGTTAACTGGGATTCGTGAAATTGTTTGTAATGATTGAGGGCGTGGAGAGGAAAATGGGCAGTTTGATAGCGTAGACAAAGAGAAACTGTTTCCAATGACGAGGATCAGGGAATCAAGAGACTGGCAATGAAGATAATTTAAGGAAAGGGAGTTTAGTATCTATCTGTACCTCTTTGTAACAATCATAGTGTCATCCGAAACAAGTAACTTTACACTAAATGAAATGGGACAGAGTGAACAGAGCTTTATTATAAGACTTGACACCACTTGAGTCCCAACGCATCATCTCATGTCTCATTCTTCCCACTGTAAAGCACATTATTACAGAAGGCAGTGTAAGGATCTTAAGTAGCGGAGTAAGTAGAAAGATAGATCAGGATGGTTATGAATCTGAAAAGAACAAGTTAATTGGAAAAGACAGACAAGAGCAAGTCAGAGAACAAAGTAACTCTGAAGAATTAAGTTATATTTATTTCAACGCAAGGGGTCTTACACGTAAGGCTGATGACCTGGAGGCATGTTTGGGAACATGGGATTGAGACGTCATAGCTGTTACAGAAACTTAGCTGAGGGATCAACAAGACTGGCAGCTCAATGTTCCGGGTTTCAGATGTTACAGGAAGGAAAAAAAGGGAGGCAAAAGAGGAGGGGGAATGGTGTTTTTGATTAAGGAAAACACTGCTGCTGTGATTAAAAAAAAATTCTAAATAATTTTCCAGTGAAAACATTGAGGGCACCAATAAGTAAATGCTCCGACGAGAGAAGGAGCAAAACTTGACCATCTATTGGGTAATAAGGCAGGGCAAGTGACTGAAGTGATAGTGACAGATCACTTTGAGTCTAGTAGTGATAATTCTATTAGTTTTAAAATAGTTACATAAAAGAATAAGCCTTCTGTAGAAGTTAAAGTTCTTAACTGGAGTGAGGCTAATTTTAATGGCATGAGACGAGAAATTTCAAAATTGATTGGAGTAGACTGTTCACAGGTAAAGGGACTTATGTAACATATTTGTGCTCAGCTATAACTCGTGCAATGATCATTTAATTCAGCATGGATTCCAATGTTGATTTTCATGTTAAATCTCCCATTTTTCATTGAAAGTTGTATTTTGTTTTGGGTGAATAAAAGAAAAGCGTGACTAGTTTTTTATGGTTTCTGTGTGTTTCATTATTTGGAAAAATATGCAGTTGTAAAAATATCAATTTGATCAGAACACATTGATAAAACCAGTTATAACTTGGTTATAATTATAACCAGTTATAATTGGTGTTACTTTTCCCCCTTTCAATTAGTGCCATTAATGTAACAGCCAACACTAACTAATTTTTTCCATGGAGAAAGACACGAGGAATAAATATGACCATCTGTGAACATACTGAAGGACGTGCTGGGAACTTTGACTAGAAATGCATTCATCACCAAAAAGCATAGTGTTTGCTATTTACTATCCCGTTCTTGCAGCTATCGGGCTGCCAGGTAAAGAATCACAGTCAATTACTAGCTGTGAGAGTATTTGCATAGCTCGATCACGGTTTTCATTTTCCTTTAATGCTTCTCCATGGCAGTGATGTCATTTCCACATTTAAGTCGATCACTTGTCTATTTACGAGGACAAACAACCTTTTATAACTTTTAATAGGTATGATTTACCCCACCCCATAAAAGCATTATTTCTTACAGTTATCCATTTCAACTCTCAATTTAATCATATTTATCCTTCGCTAGCATAACTAGCCCTCATTACTGTTGTGTGTTTCCTATTTCTCATAGTGACATTAAAAGATCTTGAGAGACACAGTTTGTTTACATTCATACTCAGTTCTCTTTATCGATAAGGTAACATGCAAAGACCAGCGCTATGTCCTCTCGACATCTGGTATTTTTCCACTGCCTGCTAACATCTCCTGGTTTAATTATAATTCTAATCTGTTATTGATGCTTACACTATGCATACATTGTCATTCAAAATCATGGCGTAAGTTTAGTTCCAGATTCTTTGAACAATCAAT